TTCCCTGTACTGCGCTAGCTTGCTGTAAACCCGATAACTTGGTCATGATTTGGTCGACCAAGGACTCCTGGTTTTTCTTGATGGACTCCAGAGTGCTCTGACTGTTTTGAGCCATCTTATCTTCCAGTTCTTTCTGCAGTCTTGCCATGTTCTCCTCGAGTTTTTCCATTCTGCCCTCCATTTGTCTCTTCTTTGCTCGGTTATTGTGTGGATGATGCGTATTTAATGCTTGCAGTGGTAAACTTGGTGTTTGCTCTTTCTCTTTCTGAGACATGTTCTGTTTGTTAATACGAATGTAAAAACATGGAAAATATAAAAAAATAAACATTAAATATAGAATGCAAAGTATATATTGTATGCAATTTAGAGGCATTGATCCAGAAAAGTGTCCATTATTATAAATAATCCTTATTCAGACAAAAATGTTTAATCTTGTAAGAGACATAAAAACAATCAAAGGTAAATTCGGACTAAATCCTCTAGCCCCAAACAACTTCTAGTAGGTTGACAAGTCTTCTGCCTTCATCTGTCACTGGTTGAATGCCTTATCGAACCACTCTGGCTTCCCTTTCCAGGCCGTGAAGACGACGAGCTACCTTCTGTACTTGATCTAGGAAATCTCGTATAACTACGTCTCTAGCCTTTACCCTTTATTGTGCTTGCTCCCAATGGAAACGCCACTGTAGACCTCCGTCAAAGGGTACTATCTGAAGCTTGGCTGCTTGCTTCTTGAATCCATCTATGATAGCTTCTAACTCGGCTATTGTTTTTCCATCTCTCTCATGTTGTTTTTCTAAGACAACCATCTGGATTCTCAAGCATTGGTTTTGATACTGACTGTCTGCTAAGCGCCTCTGAGCAGTTTTCAACTGTTCCTTCCAAGCTCTTTCATCAGACCCCTCAAACTTTCTTTTTAGGCTTTGATCTTCGTCTTTCCAGTACTCAGAGGTCACTTTCAACTTGGAGTTATCCTTGACTTTATCTTGATACCCCTTTCTCATGTCTTCAAGCTCAAAACGGACTCTTTTATGTTCCCTTTCCAGTTTGTCTGCTCTATTTTTCTAAGAGTCGCATCTAGCTTCCATTGATATCATTCAGCTTCAAGTTCCTTAACTTTCTGCGTCAGCTCGTTATTCATAACTTCAAACTCTGCCTTAGCTATCTCAAGTTCAGAAGGGACATGCTTGAGATATTCCTTCATAGTTCGGGTGTCCTTACAGTCTGGCACCGGAATATTGTCATTTTTTCTCAATCTTCTCCATTCCACATAATTCGGGGTAAGCATGTTCTTGGCAGCTACAACATCCATCCGGAATACTTTCTTCCATGAATCGACTGATTCCTTGATCATCTTCTTATAGCTGTTACCGTGATACCCAAACTCTGACCTAGATAGTCCGCATGTTGTCGGGACAAACTGACGTGACCCATACTGTCTCAGTGCTAACAATGGAGCATACCCAACTTCACCCCAAAGTCCAAGTAAGGTCATAGTGTCAGAATCCCCACACCTGAAAAGAACATCACTGAGGAACAACCAGGGGGCTCTCCAGGAAATATCTCGGTCCTGAAGATGAGTGAATACTTTCATCCACTTCTCTTTTGAAGCACCTTCATGCCATTTCATGGTGATGAACTCTCCCAAGGGTGAATAGGTAGTGCTAAATCGGCGGTAGGCAACCCCATTGGTCTTCCAGAAATGGCTGTGAATCCATACTTGAAGGAGCTGAACACACCCAATGAATCTTCCTCCACCAGCTCTTCTACAATGATTAAGAGAACGAAAGGTTTCAGCTAAGATGGCTGGTGCTGGGTTGACTTGTCTCAAAATTTGTTCAAATAATTCCACCACGGCTACGTCAATGCACCCCAAAGCCTTCAAAAAAATAATCAAACTGTACAGACCCAGTGCAAAAAGGTCTATAGTCTTCCACTCATCAGGGTGGCTCTCCATTAGTTGCTTTATGTGGATCCATTCAATTCCTTCCTCGCTGCCTTTGCGCTGAGTCCGATCAATTACCCATTTTTCGTCAACTCCTGCAACTCTGGCCAGTGTATTCTTGAAAGGCTGACTTTTGATGTGTTTAACGTAGACTCGCTCTAGTTTGATGTTTTCACAGTGCAGCAGGGTAGTGTATTCTTCAATGGTGGGAACCATGTCCTCCCGGTTAAAAGTGAAGTAACTGTATCCTGGGTTCCAGAATTGAACCATGGCTCTGATCAAGGGCTCACCAGTCTTAACATGAAGTAAAAGTGCAATGTCACCGTACCGTTGGCTGAACTTCTATTTCCGATCATCCTTCCAGCTGTCCCAGATGCCTCGAAGCTCCTGCACATTGTTCTGTTTTAGGCTGATAGATACATAGCTAACCAGCTCTGACACATAGCTTCCTTGAAGACTGTCTCCCTTTTCCTTCTGAGTTTTCTCGGACCATAGTAGTCGTACCTCGGGGTTTTTAATCTCTTGTATTACAACACCTTTGTCCATGGATTAAGATTATTTGAGTTTTAATAAATACGTTTTTAGGGATCAATGACCTCTCGTTATGATGCAAATGCTAAAAAAACAAACACAAAGGCAAAAAAAGTTAGTAAGATAGAAATAAATAAAAATAAATAAATAAATGGTAAAGGATAAAACATATGGACAAAAACAACATGGTTAGAAGAAAAATGTCATAGGTTTCGGAATGTGGTTTCGGGGTAGGCTTAATTTCTCCATAGTCTCCCGGGTTAGGTTCTAAAAAAAACGGTACCCAAATTCTCCTTGCTGGTGCCCCCTTGGGCCTGCCAGACCCTTAGTCCTAAACCCATCACAGGCTTGTGTGGACTAAGTTAAACTCGGGATGATACATTCCCTTATGCCCATACGGAGAATAAATTCACACGAAGGCATAAGGTATATGAATCCCGAAGGCTACTTTCTAGGCCCATACGGTGAATACAAGAAGGCGTCGCTTTCACCCCCACATAAAATGGGTTTGGAGCTCGGGTTTAGAGCCTTAGATGAAAAATCTTTAGGGGCTGAAATCATTAGAAAACGGTTAGTGCAACTATTTACTCGAAAAATATAATTAAAAGTAAGCAATAAGGATCGCAATGTTACCTTAAAATTTAAACTTACCCTTTTCATTAAAAAGACAACTGGAAATTACCTTAGCCTGACTCACTTACCTGTGTCCCCAGCGGAGTCGCCAAGCTGTTGTAACCGTCTTTCGGTTGGGCCCTAGAATTGGGCTTCGACGTGAATTAAATGAATTGGGAGTCGCCACCGATCATTTACTTTACGAAAAGCGGGTTGATCGAATACCTTATTTCTTATCTGATCTGCGTCTTACCAGAGATATGTCGAATTCGGGAGTTGATTACAGTCAAGGAAGGGTTAGCACCCTTGAACTGCCCTTCCGGTACTACGTAATTTCCAGTTGTCATTAAGTAAGAAAATTGAAAGTTTAACTCAAAAATGTAAAATTACGATCCAAAATTACTTACCCTAATTCGATTTGAAAATATCCCTTTTAAAAAAGGCGAGAAACACGTTAGAGGAAAAAGATAATGAAACTAAATAAATAAAACAAAGAAAACACATAAATAACACGGATAAACAAAATGAGATAAAAAAAATAAGAAAATAAAATAAGTAAAAGTAAAAATAAACAAGAAAAAAAATAACGTAACGAATCTAATAATAAAAAAAACAATAAAAATAATGAGGAAAATACAAAAAAAATAGAAAATAAATGAAAAGAAAAAGCAATCACATAAAATAAATAAAAAAATGTAAGTTAAAAGTAAAATAGTAATATCAATTATAATGATTATTATAAAAATATAAATATATACGTTAATAGCAAAAATAAATAGTAATAATACTAGTTATATGAATATATATATATATATATAACAACTTATAAACAAGGTATAAAAAAATAATAGTAATAATAAGTATTAAAATAAAAAAATAGTAATAAATAAAAAAAGAAATAAAAGAAATTATAAAGAATATGAAAATCAAAGTAAATATATATATATATATATATATAAATAAAAAATAAAGTATAAATGAAATAAAAAATGATAATAATGGAAATATAAGTAAACATATATGATATTAGTAGGGGATTAAATTGAAATAAAAGATAAATCAGTGGGCAAATGTCAAAGAACATTGAAGATTAAAATCGGCAAAAATAAAAAAGTTTTCATTTTTTTTAATAGAATTTCGCACCCTCATTCCAAAAATGTAATTTGTTTTTTGCGAAATAGCCTCTAGGGAACGTAGATCTGAAATCAAAGTTTCGAAAAACTCCTTCCGGGTCATTGGCTAAAACATTTGTCTTTGGGGTTCTCCAGCAAAGAAAACGCGATTAACAACGTATGCAAGTGAAGAGTAAAGAGAAACAAACGAAAGGTAAAAAAAAGCTTTTACCTTTATTACTTCGAATCGTTTACAATAGCCTCGAAATCATTTTTTCTTTTCTTGTATTTTTCTGGAATTCCTTTTGTGTCACTCGTGTGTGTTCTGGTGTGGTAGTTACAATGCTTATTTATAGTACTAAAAAAACCCTATTTTAGACTAGTATTTGAGTCCTAATCCAACTCTTCTTTGTTGGTTACATGAAGACTCCTCGGTTGGTAGGACAAAATCTGATGTCTTCAGCCACCTACCAAAGAATTTTCCAATGTGTACAAGTTAGCCACCAAATATGAAATTCACATGTTCAAAGTTTGGCCACCAATCAAGATGAAATTTTCAATAAGTTGGCCACCAACCAAGATGAAATTTTCAACTTGCCAACTTAATTTCAAGCCAAATCTAACAACTTCACCTTGTGTTTTCTGTTTCATGAATCGGTGGTGTGAATTTGTTGTGATAGTATTTTTTTTTAGGTATATGAGTGATCTTGGGGTCAGCTTATTGTGTAGCTGCCAGGGAAAGAACCCTTCCGACGAGCTCTGGAGGTGAGACTTTGCATAGAATTCTGACATGTTCGCCTTCATGGAGTCTCCACCGGGATAATCAAAGATGTGTGGCTGATGAAATAGAAGAGCCTTCTTATCAGATGTCTAATTGAGTTAGCAGAAATGTTAGCATGGAGAGGAGAGGGACATTAGGTTCTGGTAGGCGTAAAGTTTCCGATCAAAGAAGTGCACTTGAGATTGAGAACTATGAAACACACACTTCTCAAATATCGCCAATTCATGAAGTTAGTGGAAGGAATTTGATGATCCCCTCTTCAGGTAAATTTATTTGCTAATATTAAATTAACTTATCATTATTCTTGACTGTACATGAGATTTCAGTGAACTTTTGCTTAGAACTTATGTTCTATGTTCATTGTCTGGAAATTTTTTCATATATAATTTTACCTCTTGTACGCAGAAGACTAACGTTCGTCTAATTCCAACTATGCACCTTTAGCGTGCAGGATTGCATGGTATTGAGTAGTTGAATTTAGTATATCATATGAATGAACATAAAACATTGTGTTTAGGGGTGAGCGTTTGATCGAGTCGAGTCGAGTCAAAAAATTTCGAGTTGACGAGTCTTATTTTACAACTCGAACTAGACTTGAAATTTTTTTAGTCAATTCGAGTCGAATTTTCGAGTTTATGTTTAAATTTAATTGTAAATATTTATGATATTATGATATTATTTTATTCCAATTTAAATGATTATTTTTATAATTATATATTATTCATATGTATTTCTTTATATTTTTTTCAAATACAGAGTCGAGGGACTCGACTCAAACTTGAAAATCAATCCATTAATTACTAAAAATTTGAGTTATTAGAGTTGTTATTCGAGTTGTATTTTAGAACTCGATTTGAACTTGAATTTTTTTGGAGTCTAGTTAAATTTATGAAATTACAACTCGAAGTTAATTCGATTCAAGTTTTATCGAGTCGAGTCGAAAAAATCGATTTTTTGACTCTAGTCCCTTGATTGTGTTTATTTATTTATTAGTTATATGCGGTTCCCTACTCCTATTCTTTGTTCTCCCAATGCAGCTTTTGGCAATGGGGCTTGTTAACAGTTCGCGCTTTGCTATTATTGTTTGTGTTTGATATTATTGTGTTGTTGCTTCAGACATATCAAGGGCAAGTAATTATTCCACTGAGGTAAGTCACAATAGTTGAATAAGCTTTTAGCTTTTGTATCGTCTCTTTATCCTATATCCTGTTATACCCCTTTTGATGGTCTTCAACACGTTCTTCTGATTATTCTCAAGCAAAGAATTTGGCAGAATCACCAGATATTGTGGATTCATCTGCACCAAAGCTATCATTTTGTGTACCTTCACCATTCTCACCACCAATTACAAAAACTGTCTGGCCGTGGTCATTTACTTATCTAGACGTTCTCGCCGTTCACCTGGGCACTTCTTTCCCTTATTCCAAATGGTTTGAGAGAGAAGCCCATCAGGCTTCAATGCCCCCGTACAATCAAATCTCAGATTCTTAAGTTGGAGATTCTCCGCCCTTTTTCTAAGATAGTGCTGTGAAAAGGTAGCCATAGTCCATGGAAAATTTATGACACTGACCCATCTTATAACTGGTGCTCCTTTAGTGGTCTTCGTTTTTCTGTTGTTGCCGATAGCGTAGTTCTGCGTAGGTAAGATGGCAACCAACATCGAACTAGAGCCGAGTATAAAGGAGATAATGGTGGGGGGTTTGAGAGTTGAAAGTCGCAGGTGATGAGGTTAATTCATTGATTTCTAAATATCAAGTTTCTTGTTTGATGGAAAGATGTAAATTTGTACGGTCTTTTGCCCTTCAATTTTTCTTATAAATGAAATTTACTTAATAATATAAAAGCTGTCATTAGACTTATAAATTAATGCATGGTTTTATGACAGCATGCAATATGTATTTGTTTAGGTTAATTTTTTTTATTAAAGGTTGATTTAGATATGTTGTTGGCAGGGGTGAGCGATGTATCCAACACTCTTTACTCGGTTTCGACAATTAATTCAGTTTTTGTAGTTTCGGAAATCCAAACCATGCATTTTCAAATGAGAAATTGATGTTAATTGAATTGACGAAATCTTCGGCAGTGAAAGAAAATAATGATCTCTTCAAAGGTTCTAAATTTGAGCAACGACGTTTGTAAGATGTGAATTTAGTACTTCTATGGTTTATTTAGTTTCTAATATACAAAAATTAGTTTATTAATCTTGTTTTATTCAATTTTATGGTTTAGTTAGTTTATTAAGTTTCTAATATGCAAAAATTAAATTGATCAAATGCATACCACTAGATGTGGGGCCTTGAACTACTTGAAAGAGGTGAATTTAATATCCAACTCATTTCAGTAAGTAAAATTCAACTGTAGTCCTTTAAGCACCATTAATTAAATGGAAACTTTGAATTTTTCTCTCTCTTAAAAATTAGTGGTTCAACTCAAATACTTATAAATAAATTTTTAGTTTTGATCTCTAAAATTTTATCAGTCTTTTACTCGAAATTCTTAATTTCACTTTTCACGAGTGGGTTGAAAAATACACAATTTATATCATTCATCATAATGATTTAATTTTAAAAAATAACGCCTCTTTTATAAAAGGCGTAGAATTTCATTGCCATGCCAAATTTCACGTACAATTATAAAACGAACTAGGCCATAAACAAAACATATGGAAAACTACGAAGTGGTGGTTGCACCATCTGCAACAAGCAGAGAGACGACGGACGGAGGAGGTCTCCCCAACCAATCGGCAGAATGCCCGGAAAGCCCCTCACGAGCAAACGCATCAGCAACACCATTTCCCGATTGACCAACATGCTGAAAGATGCACTGGTCAAACGAAGCTACTAACTCCCGAATCCAGTTGAGGATTGAACTCCCATAGGAATGGTCAACCAACGATGACGTAGCCCTGGAAATAATTGACCGAGAATCTCCCTCCACAATAATTCGTTCATGACCAAGAGAAGACACCAACAACAATCCCTCCAGACAGGCCAAGGACTCCACCTGGAATGCATCCATGGCATGAGGAAGATGTCGCGGACACTATGTGCGGAACTGACCCTCAGAATCATGGATGATGCAGCCAATCCCTCCTTGACCCAGATCGCGAGCAAAAGAGCCATCAAAATTCACCTTGACGACTCCTGCCAACCGGGTGGGGGGAGGTCCATGTCCGACCAACAAGAGCGATGACCACATCCCGCCCCGGGGGGGGGGGGGGCGGAAACTAAATATAGCTCCGAAATGTAGTTGAAACAAATCCATGGATCTCTACATCAGAAATAATAACGCCATGGTGTATGTAACGGTTCTGACTTCTGAGTCCACCAGAGAGACCGAAGCAACACAAGCAGACATGAAATATCTGTCATAGACAGCTGAGCAATCACAGAGAGCAACCATTGCTGAAAATCTGGAGAAACCACGCTACAAAACTGATCCCATCCAAACAAATCCCAAAATGAAGACAGTTGATGACAGTCTCGGAGAGCATGCAAAATAGACCCTGATGCCAAACCACAATGAAAATAAGTCGGATCCGATATGACATGCTTCTAGTAGAGATTATCCGAACCTGAAAGAAGATTACGAAAAACCCGCCAAGCAAATATCTGAATCTTCTCAGGGAGGGGTTGAGCCCAAAGCAGTCAATAAAATGCAAGATCCCGTGCTTCAGTAGTCGCTCAATGATGGTCTAACTGGATCAATTGGTTATACACACTGTGGACTGTAAATCGACCATGATTCTCAAGCTGCCACACAAATCGATCTAACCCACCATTTACTGGCAGAGGAATGGATAAAATGGCATGAGCAATATGAAGCGGAAAAAAGGATTGAGATGTATATGTCCTCCAGGTGCCAAGAGAAGAGTCAATCAAATACCCACACCAGACCTGCCTGATCCGCACAAGAAGTAAAAAGCTCCATCGGAGAACACTTTGGAATCTAATGTGGAATGGAAAATCCATCTCCACTTTGGGATCGCAAGCCACTCTTCAAGACATCCTTAACCGACCAAATGCTTCGTCAGGCAAAGGAAGGTTGAGAACCCAACTCAGTATTCAGAAAATGCCCACCCGGAAAACACTTGGCTCTCATAACCCAAGCGACTAGAGAGTTGGAGTCCTGAAATAGCCTCTACCCTTGCTTACACAAGAATGCCTTATTGAATATTTCTAAGTCTCAAATATCCAGGCCACCAATTGCTTTGGGAAGAAATAGAGCGGGTAAGACGAGCCAATGGATACCACGTCTAGAATCATTAGAACGCCACCAAAAGCGGGATATAACGGCGTTCAGCTCATGGCAAAGCATAAAGGCAAAGCATAAAGGCTCATTTAGTAAGTTGGAAGAGACTGTAGAATGGCTTTGACAAGGACCGACTTCCCTCCCTTTGAAAATGGCCGAACAGAAGAGTTACTAACTAGAGACAACATCGATTCCTTGAGAAATCAAAAAGTAACTTGACGATTCTGACCCACTACCGACGAAAAGCCAAGATAACATTCAAGATCAGTAGCAATACTCACCCCAAAGGAACTGACAAGAAAAGCACGACACTCGACATGTGTGTTAGCACTGAAAAAAATCTTTGATTTCCCAAAATTTACTCGTTGCCCAGAACATTCCTCAAAGCACCAAATATGGAAGATCAACGTGGCCATATCAGCATAGTTCCCCCAAAATGAGGCAGTCGTCAACGAATAAAAGGTGGTGGAAAGAAGGGCCCCCTGCTCAATCAAATACTTGGAAAACGACCCGTAGCATGTTCTCTACGAAACAGTAAGGACAATCCCTCCATACAGAGTAGAAATAAATATGGAGAGAGTGGATCACCTTGACCAAAGTCACTATGAGGATGGATTATATCGGAGAGGTGACCATTAACTCGATTCCAATAAGTCACAGAGCAGACACAACACATTAAAAAAGACACCCAATCCAGGAAACCAAATCAAAGTAGGACTCGTTCGAGAAAAACTCACCCTACGTGATCATAAGGCCTTGCTCATATCAAGTTTAAGAGCAAACAGTCCTTGACGGCCAAACCGACGACAACGAAATGTAGGAAGAGTCTCAACGGCAAATGAGAGCGTCTGTTATTAAACGCCCCAGAATGAAGGCACTTTGGCTTTCATTGATGCTTGAATCGGCTGACAATCATTCGAGAACCAATCTTATAGACCATATTTCAAAGGCTTATAGGTCGATAATCTTGCACCTGATGGGTTCGAAAACCATCGGAATGAGCACAATCGTCGTTGCATTAATGACTGGGATATTCGCCAGACCATTCAAAACATCAAGGAAGAAACGAGTAATAACCACACCCACCGCATCCCAGAAAGTCTGATAAAACAAGGCCTAAAACCCGAGTGGCCCCAAAGCCTTGAGTGGGAAAAGTTGAAAAACTGTTGTCTTAACTTCTGCAGCCATAAAAGGCAGTAAAAGATCATCATTCTGGAAGGCAGTAATACGAGGGGTAATCCCTGAGAGAAAATGGCAATCGGGCAATGGTGCTCTACCAAATAACTCAACAAAAGAAGAATAGTAGTAGTGCAACAAACCCTCTTGATAAAAAACATAACTCTTTTATATAGATTTTAATACTTTTACCGTGTATTTTTTTCTCATGTTCTAAATTGTTCAATACTAATATGTCTCCTATTTTACCCCTCATAGTAATATGAAATTTCAAAATTGTATTGCTACCAAATTCAATGTATGTAACAAAAAAAAATGAATTCATAAAATACAATAGTGATAAGTAGTATTTTAATAGTAAATTATCTTTTCATACCAGCTATCGAATGGAGAAAATCATTAGTATCCTAGTTTGCGGATGATATCATCGACATGCATTGTTAATTTTGGTATCAACTTATCGTCTGACCAGCCAATGGTACCCTAGTTTATTACTCCTATATAAATAGAAATTAGCCTTTGTTTGAAGCAGGTTGTAAACTTGTTTTATTGAGACACTGCGTCTTTAGAAGCCCATGATTGAGGGGATGTACAAAGAAGAGTTTGGTGAAATGGATTAACACATCAACTCTTCTTCAGAAATCGCGACCAAAGCAACTAGGGAAAATTCCTCAGTAACCGAGGATAGTGCAGTAGGATTGCAACCAGGGGCGGATGTACATGACTCCATAGAGGAGTCATTACACACCCATTATTTTGAGAAAAGTGTTAAATTTAATTTACTAATAGGAATAGGAAAAAATAAGAAAATTTGCACACCGGAATTTTTTTTTAGATTCGAATATTAAAATTTTGAACTCCTATTTTTCAATTTCTAGATTCGCCAATTCAAAGTTGCTGATGGTAATTGGAGATGATGTTTAATTGGTACAAGTTCAAAAAGTGAAACCTGATCAGTGATGTAGAACAGAACAGGCCTACCACGAGCAATTTTTCAAAATATTACTTCAGGAGATACTGGCTCACCTAGTGGGATGAAAGTACGGGCTGACCTGATGGGTAACATTGTTAGCAATAATCCTTATTCATATACAGTAATCCCATCCAGCCAGCATTCTCAGGGCACACTTATGGCTGGTGATGTCATGTATAATTTATCAGAATCAACTGGTTTTCTGGTGGGTGGTCAAGCGCACTTGCACCTGGTTTAAGGCACCATAAAAAGTAATGTCTTTTACCATATCTGGAGAGATATGAGATGTAACAACAAAGTGATTTTCATTTCATGGAACCAGGAAATCAACAAGGCATGTATAAAAATCCCCATGATTGTGTAGTCTGAAGAATGTACTCCTCATTACCTCAAGGCTTATGGTGGTTCACTTGATATGATGACAAGCCAAATCATAAAAACCAAGCCTTGAGATGCTACTTTGGTGGATGTCTGGTTTTCTGAGTTTCATGTTTGAATAGCAGAGAAAGATAAAGCATAATCATGATAACGTGTTAAGTGCGAATTCATAACAGCCATCTGTAACATACAAATAAGACTGATGATGATATAGCTTCTATAGTATGCTGATTAAAGATTCTTCCACATAATTCCAGTATCAATCTATGAGACATACATGCATGATACCCAAAAGTAAAATCCTAGTTTCAGAAACAACCTCAATTCACGCTTTCGATGTATGGAAAGTTATTTTCTGCTTCAATTCGTCTTTGCATGCCCCCACAACCTTATCAACTATGTTTCCTTGTTTCAAAAGGATAAAAGTTGGCAATGCCTCAACATCGAAATCCCGAGTCACGGTCTGCAAAATACAAAGAGAACATACAGCTTAGTTGGCATATAGCGAAAGCAATTTTTACAAGCTTCATTTAGCAAAGGGTTTAAGAGATTTCTTACCTTCAAATCGTCAGCATCCACCTTGAAGAATATGACATGGGGCAGCTTCTCAGCAAGCTCTACCAGGATTGGTATCATAGAACGGGATGGTCCACACCATGAAGCTGTGAAATTTACCACCACCTATTTAGGAAAATCGAACCTAATCAAATATCAGTTTCACTGTTTAACCCAAATTTTGTTCGCTTCATTTACTGAACTAAATTTAGGGATCAGGAAAAACATCAAATTTAAGCAAACTAGAAGTAAAGCCGAACGAAATCAAGGAAACGCACTTTCCGAAGCAACCTAAGAAAAGAAACTTTTAGGGAATTGAGAGGGAAAAAAAATGAATTTGTACCAATTTCATGGACGCGTTTGCTGTGTGGAGCTGGTCGTTCAATGAAGCAATAGTTTCGCAGCTGATAACTTGTCCCGATTCCGCCATTGCTTTCCCTCCAATTCCTTCCTCTCTCAAAGCTGATAACGCGTGTTGTGCGAAGAGACAAAGAGGAAAGGGAAAAAAAGAGGAAATTTTAGAACACTATATTTTGGTAATTTAACCTAAAAATCACTCAGACAAGTTTTAATTAATTATCAAACATCGTTTTAATTTTTTTTTATCAATCTACTACTTTTTTTTTTGTAAAATGACGTAGATGACGTCAATTCAGATAAAATGCGAATGATAATTTATGTTTTTTTAAAATAGGTGTTAGATCTGTAAATTTTTTGAAATAGTGTCTTATAGGTCATTAATTTTTGTTAGGGTAATTTTTGTGTAAAAAGTAGTTTTGTTTTTTTTATGAAAAAGATAATATTTATTTAACCAATCATTTTTATTTACTATCTTCGAAAAAATTAAGTATCATAAAAAAGTTATGTTTCTTTTACACTTATCATTTTCTTCAAATAATTATTTTTTCTTTTTTAATAAAATTTTTCATTAAATCTTGAAAATAAGATAGTAAAATATTTTTCTTCAATAATAATAATAATGAAAAATAGTGTCAATAAACTTTGTCTCGTCTCTTGATTTTGTTATTATTTAACCAATAAAATAGTGATGTTTTTCTTATACAAGACCAAAGTTGACTTTGATAATTGAGTTTTTCATCATTGACTTTTTAAAAAATTAATTTTAATTATTATATTTTTAATTCGTTTTATTTTGATAATTGAGTCATTAATTTGTATTTTTTACTAACGTCACACGTTAATAAAATTTTAATGAGTTAATGCTAGTGAATCTTTAAATGTATGTCATCCTCTTAAGCAGTGTATCCTCTTAAATCATCAGTGGTTTATAAGAATTCACTAATTATCCATTCAATCAGCGTATCAGAAACATATTAAAATATAGATTTATATGAATTTTATACTCGATATATATATATATATATATATATATATATATATATATATATTATCTCAACGTTTCTAAGAATAACTTTGAAGTTCAGTTAAATTTAAAAACGTATTCAACACAAAAAGATTGGTTAAATAATGACAAAATCAAGAGACGAGACAAAATTTATTAGTACTATTTATTATTATTATTATTATTATTATTATTATTATTGAAGAAAAAGAGGTATTTTATTATCTTATTTCCAAGATTTAATGAAAAAATTATTAAAAAAAAGAAAAATAATTATTTAAAGAAAATAATAAGTATGAAAGCATGTGATTTTCTTTATGGTCATATAACTTAATTTTTCAAAAGATAGGAAATAAAAATAATTTACTAATTAAATTTTATCTTTTTTCCAACAAACAAAACATAATTACTTCTTTAATATTCAATGACATGTTTATAGAAAAATCACTCTAACAGAAATTAATTACTCGTTAGACACCATTTCATAAAATTTTACGAATTTAATACTCATTCCAAAAAGGTAGGGATCATCATTCGCGCTTTAAATGAGCTTATGTCACGTCAGGATAAGGCACTGCAAAGTGTGCTAGATCGATAAAAAAAAATTAAAGTAGTGTCTGACAGTTAATTAAAATTTATCTGGGTGATTTTTGGGTAAAAACACCCTATAATTTGCAAATTTTTTGAGTTATTCGAGTTGATTAAACATATTTTATAATTCAGACTTGATTTGAGATTTTTTCGAGTTGAGTTGATTTTTTGAGTTTCTATTTAAATTTAATTGTAAATATTTATAATATTATTTTATTCCAATTTAAGTGACTTTCTATAATCGTATATATTATTCAAATATATATTTTTCATATTTTTCATACATTATATACATATATTATACAAAGTCCAAGGACTTGACTCAAACTTAAAAATAAAATCCACTATTTACTAAAAAAATTTGAGTTATTCGAGTTGCATTTTTCAACTAGATTTGAATTTGAAATTTTTTCGAGTCGAGTTTATGAAATTGCAACTCGAAGTCAATTCAATTTAAAGTTTTTAGTCGAATCGAGTTGAAAATTTTGATTTTTCAAATTGAGTTTTGTTCACCCCTATAAGTTAGTTGATATTTTTCATAAGTTCAAAAATATCAACAAATTATTTTAAGGGTAAATTATGCATTAGTACTTAAATTATCAATTTTAGAACGTTTTAGTATTTAAACTTTTAATTTTTTTAAAATCATACTTAATGTTTAATTTTCATTTCATTTTAGTACCTAAACTATTAAATTTAGGTAGAGCTTGAAAAACTAAAATGAAATAAAAAATTTAAAATATTTTAAGGGAATTAAAATGAGATAAACATTAAATTTTAGGTAAAATTCTGAAAAAATTAAAAATTTAGATACTAAAATAGACCAAAACTAATAATTTAAAAAATAAACACATAATTTAGCCTTATTTTAAAATATTTCTTTTAGTTTGATTTTTTTTTTTAACTGAAAGAGCATAACAAAACTAGACTGGGGTTATAGACTGCAGAGAAGCTCCTCTTCTGTCAGCGGATAGGAGAGAGTCCAAGCTCGGAGGTGGCGCTGCATAAAGCTCAGTTTGTGTTACAGTGATCGGGGCCATTTTTGCAAGTTTGTCGGCAACAGCATTCGCAGATCTGGGAATCCATGAGAGACGAGTACTCCAAGTGTGTTTCCGTAAGGCGGTGATGGAGTGAACAAGAGAAATAGGGCTATTTATCATTGTCTTATCTTCAAGCAGGTTGACTGCTTGTTTGCAGTCCTTTTGAACTTCCAGGCTCTCTATACCAAGGCTCCGAGCTAGAACAATACCTTCATAAATGCTCCAAAGTTCGACTTTTAAAACGGAGGTATGGCCACCATTCCTGCTATAGCCATGTATCCGGGCGCCGTCATCATCACGGAAGACACCATCTGTAGTACCAATGCCAGTCGAATGGTTGACGCCCCTATCCGAGTTGGGGCATATCCATCCCGGGGAGGCCCAGGCGATGGTACTTTGACGCCAGACAGAATAGTGATTATCCTGCAGGCGCTCTAATAGATGATTCACAAGAGAAAATTCGTCAAAAAAACCAGAGAAAAAAGTCTCTAGGGTTTAATAAAATATTATAAAATCAAACAATGCCCAAAATCAGTCCACAAGCCGGACTGTTATAGTCAAAAATCGTCTTTATTCGAATTTTGCCAAAAATAGCAAAATCCCGAAAATCACTCTACATTGAAATTCGAAATAAAATAAGCAATCTCCAAAAAATCCGGCCTAAATCGGATTTAAATTGACAATTGAAATATTACCATAAATAGTAAAAAAATATCTAAATCTAGTGATTCGGAGGGAAAATGGCAGAATTTGAGGTTGAAAAAAGGCTCCATGTGGAGAGCATGCGCGTCGAAAAGAGTTTTCCGGATTGGGGTCTTATGCGCGATTCTGACACCTGTAGCCAAAGTTATGGCCAAAAGACTGAAACATACTCAAAACGACCTCAATGAGAAACATGTCACAATCAATTCCTGCCTTTGCGCTGATCTGCCAATTCATGGTATCTCAACGCCATCAAGGTACAATCTGACAGCTCAGCATCATCTGTCTCGAATCCCCCTGCACCATACTTTCCGCTGGATTATGAAGTGGCGTTGGAGAGGATAGCGCCTGCTTATAATATAACGCCTAGCTTCGAGCACAATGAAGGACATTAAAATTAGGTAGCAAGTCACCCTTGAATAGCATTTCATTTGTCTTTTCCTTAGCGGTCATATCATGGAGGCAAAAAACAGAAACCAAGAAAATCCATTCGTTGGGCTATTAGAATTATTATTCAAGATTAGAAAAATAATCATTGTAGACACCCGTTTTTATCCGGATTTATCAAAAATATTATTACATTATATTTATTATTATTGTTATTATTATTATTTTCTTTATACATTTTTGAAGGCTAAAGCCCGATACAACCCGAGGACCAACAGTGACTCAACTACAACAGCCACTCAGCAGACCTAAGCCCAACCCAAGCTGCCAACCCAATCCAATAACCTGACCCAGTTACAAGACCCGAATCGGACTGGAGCCCCGACTCAAACCGTCCCAACACCATATCCTAACCTTAGGGTATCTCATCAGCAACCGCCTTAATCCTGACCCTTGGATCTGGACCCATCCAACGGTCTAAATTATTTCAGGGATTAGGGTTGACCCTAAATTCCATCCAGCTACCACCTGCCGTCGAGCCTTCCTCGATGTCTAACACTGCCACCGATAGATCTGAACCAAACAGCGACAGAAGCACACCCATCAGTCAGAAAAATAGAGAAAGAAAATAAAAAATATCAAAAGAAAATCCACACATTATCCCGATGATATCTCCTCAGTCTATCTATCAAAAAGCCATCACTCATAAGCCATCACGATAAAAGAGAAGAGAGAATATTTAGAGAAGGGGTACTATTCGGTGTGGGAAGAAAAAGAGAGGGATTCGAAAAAAAAAGAAACCCATTCGGTGTGAGAAAAAAATATAAAGAGACATCCAAATAGAAAAAACAGAGAGAAAGACAAACAAAGATAAAAAAAACCAAGAAAAAAGGTGGAAGCCTTACCTCTGTTCGAAGTGGGAAGCTAGGGGGTCCTCGGTTTCTAGGGTTTTCGAAAAGTGAATCTGTAGATCTAGGTTTCTTGGGTGAGTTTTAGGTTAAAAGGCTTAAGGTTTTGGGTTGAGAGTGATGAGAGGAAGGTTTTGGGGTTGTTTGGGTTACTATGGCCACCGTGGGCCGTCGTGGCCACCGCCGGTGAGAGGTGGCTTTCTCTCTCCGACGAGGGGAAATTAAGAGAGTTTTGAAATCTCTCTCTCTTCCCTAGGTTGAGAAACTAAAAAAATGAAAGGCTGAAGGGTTTTAGGCCTTTGTTGGTTATATTTATATATAACACGAAACAACATCATTTCAAGAGGGACTAGGGTTGTATTTTAACGCATGGTATAATCACATTTTTTATCCCTATGATCTTGTAATTTTATATTTCTATCATTAAATGAAATAGTGTTATTTTGTATTGAGTACTGGTTATTTTTAATATTTACATTTAAGTCCCATTTTTGTATATTATGCTATTTTCGTTTATATTTAACTTTGGTTACAACATTTGTAAATCTTTTATGTTAGTCACTACTTTATATTTTGCTTAATTATTATTTGACTTGTATTGTTTCTAGACCATTTCATTTTAGTCCCTAATGTTATTAATGGATTATTTACATTTATGATGCCTGTATTATTTAATATTTATGATTTGGGCTCTAGTTTATTTGAAATTACTGTTTAGTCCATTAACTTTATGTTTTAGCTATTTTAGTCATTTAAGTTTCGATTTTTATTATTTTAGTCTTTTAATTTCTTTTAATACCAATTTAGTCCCTTAACTTTCTGTTTTTTCTATTTTAGTCGTGTAACTTTCTATTTTTACTATTTTAATCCTTTAAGTTTCTGTTTTTGTTGTTTTAGTCCTGTAAATTTCTGTTTTTGCTATTTAGTCTTTTATTTTACTAAGTATATATTTTTTTATTTGTATTTTAATTTATCATGTTTGTAAATGTGTATATTGGTCTAAATTTGTAACTTTTTTTATCAATCGTTATAATTTCATGTATGTATGTATAAAAATGGAAAATTTCAATGTGAGGGAAATCTATGAAGATATCTCCCAACTAAAGGGAAGATATCTTTTCGAGGATTTTTTGCATAAATTATTATTTTATATTCGATATTTTTCTTTGTTCCACGTTAAGTATTTTTCACTTTTATTTTGTTTTGTTTAATTTTATTTCATCTTTGCAAAATTTGTGAAATAATATTTTTGTGATGGGAATCTAGGGGAAAGTCTCCTAACTACGAAGGAAGTGCTTTCACAAAGATTGTTCATACTTTTTAAATAAATTTGAATGAATAATAGGATCATAATATAAATATATTTTCGAGTTCATAATTCCCAATATTTAAACAATATATAATCGTTTATGTTGAGTTAATCGATTGATGGAGTTGGCCAAGAGGGTGGTGAATTGGCAAATAAAAATTTCGGTTTCAATTTGCACAGCGATTTAGAGTGGTTTGACTTTCTCAACCAAAGTCTACGTCCACTACCTTAGCTATCCACACTAAGGATTTTCCACAAATTCACTAATTTGTCTTTCTTTTGAGGACAAAGAGTAACCTTACAAATCTCTCAAGAATTATACCCCAAATTCTTGAGAACACCCTCTCCCAAAGAGAATAATACAAATTTTACAAACTTACAAGAAAATCCTTACAAGGCAAGATGTTTGCACAATTTTAGAACAAAGAAATAACACTCAAGAATAATACAATTGAGCACAATAAGTGTTCTTGAAAGCAAAAATGAATATTGAATGAAATAGGCTTGAAAATGCTCAAACTTGAGGTTTGATGCTTTCTCTTTGATTCTCTCTTGATTCGTGTTGATTGTTGTTTCTTGTTATTGATCAATGGCTTCTAAGGTTGTTTAAATACACCTTCAAATGATTCTGAACGTTGGGGATGATTAGTGGAGTCAATAGAGCCGTTTTAGTGTGAAATCAATTAATAAAACAACTTGGAGTGTGGGGGAATCGGTACCCCCTCATGGGGAATCGGTTCCCTAAGTGTAAAATTCAAATATTTCGACCGTTAAACAGGGGGAATCGGTTCCCTCCGAGCATTCTGTTTTTATCGGAGCCAAACCATTCAGGGGGAATCGGTTCCCTCTGAGCAATCTGAAATTTTTTGGCTTTGAAATGGTTCGAAATATTTTGTAAAATTGTTTTAAAATTATTTTAAGATTAAAACTTAATTTTACACTTGAGTAAGGATTAAAAACGACATTTGAAATATTTGGAGTAATATTTTGATATTCGAATAATTATATCGAATATACTTTAGAAAATCTTTTGGAAAATCTTAAAATTCATTTAACTTAATTTGTTATATCGAAATATCAAAATGTTTTCAACAATCTCTCCCTTTTTTATATAACAAAACATTTTAGTAATTTTAAGATTTTGAAATCAAGTTTTGAAATTACTCCCCCTTACTCTAATACTTCTCCCCTTTAAAACACTTTAACATTTCTCCCCCTTTTTGTTAAATCAAAAAGACTTTTAAAAGATTTTAAATATAGCTTAAGCTGTTAAGATCACAATCAAGAGAAACGTTAGCCATTAGTTTCATAATCAATATTCATAAACAATGTGATATGGAGAAATTGGTCATATATCTAACATGATGTAAATGATGCAATAATGAATAAATTTAACCAAACCAAATATATAGAAATATAAGCTCAAACATCCATAAAACATCAACCAAATTCAAACACCAACAATCAAAATTAAAAACAATCCAAAGTCATTCAAAATGTTGAAACAATAATCTCTAAGTCCTATTTTAAAGTACTAAAGCATGACAAATAATCAAGCATCCGTAGGAGGATCGGGAAGAGGAAAATGAGCTCGCATAACGGCCATCTCATGCGAGAGTGCATTAATGCATTCATTCATAGAAGCGTTGTTCGTGCGCATCTCCCGGAGAATCTCCAATTGTTGAGCTCCCATTGTGGATAAATGAGACTCTATAGAAGTGAAGCGAGAATCCATGGATGCATACCGAAAATCAAATGTCTCCATAAAGGATTGAAAGTATGGAGGCATTTGATCCTGTAGTCGTGCTTGTTCCTCTGGTGGAGCTTGTTCCTCGTGTTGTTCTTGCTCATCGTCGGAGTCATCAGCTTCCGGAGGTTGTTTATAAATACAAACCCAAAGACCAGTCTCTTCATTGAACTTCCATCCTGATTTGGTTAAAGAGAAGAGGTTGATTTGGTTTTTGAGGGGAAATGAAGCATCAAGACCAACTCTAAGCCCAACCTTTTTAAACAGATTACTAAGAATACTACCGTAAACTAAAGAAGAACATAATTTCTTTTTGGGAAAAAGATTTACGATTTCGACAAGTTCAGAAAAGATAATATGTGGAAGGTTGATTTTAAGATTATTTTGGACACAATGTAGCCAAAATAAATCCATGGCTCAGAGAGTAGAGTAACGGCCTCCGGATGGTCGAAGCCACCAAGAGATCATGAGATGAAGAAAACGGTCGTGAAGATCTAACACACTTGCACTATCCCTTCGTTTATACTGAGATCCTACCGTCAGTTTTTCATTGTCTAACCTGTCATTATCTAATCCTAATGCTTTGGCTATGTATTCTGGGTCAAGATGAAATAATCGTCCTAGAAGATAGGATCGAATTCCTGTGGTAAAGGTTTTCTCCCGGTTTTGAATGCAAACGACATTAGAGTAGAAGATACGAACGAGTTGATGGTAGACTATTGGTTCAAGCTCAAAAGGTTTGTCAAATTTCTACTCTTGAAGAGTAGGAAGATGTCGAAAATTGATGTCTAACATGGCTTGAAGAGATGGGATGCGTTCTTCCCAGATTTTGTAGGACTCAAAGTATTGACAAAACCTAAAGTAGAGATTTTTTCTACGACCAGGTTCATTGAAGCAAGAATTGCGAATGGTTATGTTTGGATCATTGGAATTAGGATTAGGAATTTGTTGGATAAGTGGAGGATTTGGATGTGAGTTTGGAGGTTGGCTAGAATGACTAGAGGAAGGTCTAGAGCATTTGTGAGACATGATTTAAGGTAATCAGAATGGAAAGAATAACCTGTAATTTTAAAACACATGTATGCAATATAATCAATCCCAAAACTCAATTGAGTCCTCAATATCTCAAGGTTCTCTAAACCAATCCTAATGGGCAAAGTTTTTTAAAACTATTGAAAAATAAAGTTTTGAAAATTAATAAACGTATAGTTTTCATACTAACAACATAATTAAATCAAAACACAACAGTCTGAAATTAATTAAAAATTTTCATTTTTTTATTTCAAAAAGTTCAAGAATTAATTGAAAAATTATGAGATTTTGATAAAATAAGTTGTAAAATCTAGTTTTTAAACAATCAATGCCCGATCACTATTTCAATCTAGAACTAATTAAAACTAGTTCTAAAATCAAATATTAATAAAAAGAAGTTTTTAGAAAAA